ATGATTGCACATTCCCGTAGACTGTCACTAAACGATAACACTGAATTAACACCCAACCATTTGCGGACACTGATCCTAACCGAGGCTTGGAGCAGGTTATAGAGACAACACACATCTGCCTGGAGTGGTGCTGGGTTACAGATGGACACAGAAGAGATAAGCTGAGGAATGGACGACTGCTTGGAGCCCAGATTCTCTGGACATCTGGCCCAAACAGGACACACATACACATTAGATACACATGGTTATAAACAGTACATGCACATACATACAAACAGAAGCTGAGGGGATGAAGGGGCGTTGAGTAATGGTTTGAGCTGGTGGTGCACAACAGAACAGCTAACAGACTTTTTTTCCTATTCGACAAACACAAAATCACACAGATAATATCCTCCAACACATTTCGCAGCCATCTGTAAGAACCATGTAAGAACCATTATCACTTTCACATACCCCTGGGTTTTGGGCACATTATGATTAGGCATGCATACGGACACAAACTTGAAGACGCCACTTGTATAAATATACAGATTATCCCCGGGTGCTGAGTGCTGAGCGGAAGCTGACAGGCAGCGTGACACATGGACTCATACACAAACCGTTTACAGCCTTGCCATCACAGGCTGACTCTGAGCCTGTATGCACCACCAGCAGCTAACAAATGGATGGGAGAGCTGCTGGGGAAAAAGCAGGGAAAAACATTTCCACCTACAGCTATTTTTCAACAGCCTATAGGACCAGTGACCGTTTCTGAGCCTAGTGGACATCCTGCTGTTCTGATGACAGATGACCAAGCTGACCTCGCTTCAGCAACCATATCACCCAATGAGAATACTAGGCTTACTTTTTGGGCACATGTTCAACTTTTAATGGATACCCTGTCGATTATTTGCTCTTATTTAGCAGGCCTCCAGAGAGGTATGTTGGACTCCAAAGTTAACTTCAAAATAAATACATTCCATTTTCTCGAAGCCAATAAATATCTCCTTTGTTTTGGGTCCTTGCTTTCAAATGGCACATTGCAGTGCACCAAAAGCATTTTGGATGAACTGAGGCCTTTTAAGTCTCCATCTGTCATTGTTTGGGCACAGCCAAGTGTGTGTGTGGGCTTTTTTAGCTTCACATATGTTTTAGCTAAATGCTTATTAAGAAGATTTGGGGCTTGGGATCCAGTTCTTAAGATATGGGATTTATTTTATTATGTATATTTTTTTTTATAGAGGACGACAAAATCGGATGTGATGCCCTTTCTCTTCCTCTCTCAGCCCTCCCACAAAGCATGCACACTCTTTCTGTTAAAAGCAATTATGGTGATCTTTTCTGTTTCAGTTAGTCTCAATTATTTATCATTTGTCTCTTTGGTGTTAAGGGAGGATTGCTGGAGGACGATAAAAACAAATTTCTCATTCAAAAATGATCACTGCATGTATTCACATTATGAAAAATTCATCATCTTACAGTTCTGGGGAATGTGGTCTGCGCCCAGAAAAATATTTGGATGATAGAGCTATATTCTTTGGCAGTGAAGTGTACTGTATGTGACAATAAGATAGAATAGAGTCAGGCCAACAATATGTGATGCCATGCTACACTGTGTTAATATTTAACTTGTCTTTTCCTGGTGTTTTGCTCTATTTTTCTGCCCCTGGGAATGTTTTATTCTTGTTCAGTTTTATTTATTGTTGTATGTAGTTCAGTGGGCTCCTTTCAAAACAAATTCTCAATCTCTAGAATTTCTTTGACAAGGTTAAAGTGACCATAAATTATTCTTCAGACACTGCAAGTTACTACTACAAGCAGCTACAAGAAAATATGCTCCAGTAACAGATAAACATCTCATGGAGACATTTCTAACTTCTTCTGGCATATAGAGCTGGGTGGATTAGTACATTAAAAATCACTGAATCCATTTATCATCTACTGTATTTATTTCAGTAATTTAAAGTTAACTGACTGAACCAAACATACAAGAGTGTAGATGTCAGAGTCATGGGACAGTGAGCTTGTTTTTATTATTCCACTGTGGACAGAATCACACATTTTAAAATAAATTCTGTTATGTTCCTTATGCCATTAACACTTCACCCTTCCCTAATCGCACACTCACATAAGACAAAGGCTCTGGTTACACACATACTGAGACTTATTTTTTGGTTACATGCTGTGTGTAGTTCTACTTGTATTCTGTAATGCTGTGCCTGTCAGTGAGAAATGGTTGTTTGACAGACATGCACATTTGTCTTTGCAGGTTTTCAGTGAAAAGACTAACACAATTACACAATATCGATCAACCCAGTCACAAGGTGCTGTGGAAAAGATGCATAGTTCCAAATTTTTTCCTCTTCAGTGGAAGTGTACGGTACACCTTTTTGAGAGAGTGACCAGCAGCACAACAGGACTTAGACTTCATGTACAGGTGTGATGCCAATGTGAAGATATAAAATACAACTAAAAGAAAATTCAATATTCATCATTGCGCGAGTAGGAAGGGAATGTCAAAGTTAATTCCTCCTCATAGCAAACAACTACGAATTGTATATTCACATATTAAACAAGTGATACACACTTTCACACCATATGTACAAACATTAGAATAATACATAACTATAGTTCTTCAGAGGATAAACTTAATTCAGGACAATTAGTGGAGTGTGAAATGTGTCCACATATTTATTTCTCTAACTTAAGTGGTACCCAAACCCTGGTGTAGGGACCTCTGGGGGTGCTGGAGGGGGCTTGTGGGATATATATGTAGCACTGTCTAAAAACAGACTTGTGTTTTTGAAATGGGACCTCAGTATCTAATGAGGCAAAAAACCTGTCACCTGGCAAACTGGTGAAACTGGCATAGGATGCACGAGCACCTCTTCAACCAGTGTTCCCTGGGGTACTAGAGCCATTACCCATCATCCCGCAGGGCCTTTTCACAATACCCAGGCAAGTTTTCTCTCCTGAGAAGTGCAATCTGCTCCTGTCATTTGTCTCACCATAAGCTGGGATGTGTATAGTTAAAGCACAGCTGGAAATACCTGTGTGTAAACTCACAGGGTCAATTCAAAGTGATGTTTTTAACTTTTATTTATGCAAGGAGGGTTTGCATGCTCGTTGGGTTTTTTGGCACACCAGTTGTGGGGTGAGAGTGTTTTTCTCATCAACTTGTCCAGCCTTGTTTACACATATTAAAAGCACTGCCCTTCCTGCTACATATTTATAGTTACACTTCACACCCAGCAACCTCAATCATCTACAGTTTACCCACTGAGGATTGTGGTCTCTCTTGTGCTTTGTGTAATCTTACATCACAGAAACACTCAAGTTTACCAATTTAAGACAACTCAGTGAGGAATAGCTTGCATCTGTATCCATGCTGAAGTTTTATAAATTACTAGTTCTGTTTGATAGCTGTTACTTGTTATATTTCTTTTGCAGCATAATTTCTTATAAGCCATTTCTTGTTGTTGAATAAAAGATGCAAGTACTTTTGATTTTTGTCTCTCTGGCATTTATTTTTTATTTTTTTTAAAGAAAACCAAGAACAACAGCCACTGGAATTAAATAACTATTAGGATGGAAATAAGCGTTTTGCATTATGAAAAAGGGAGTGGAAGGTTTTGTTAGGTGCAAAACAAAACAAAAATCCCATTTTGTGCAGCATACCCATCCATCAACTCTCCCATGGGGGCAGCCAACCAGCCAATCATGATTTCTTGTTTGTCTATGGTAATTACACTGATGGAAGTCAAGATCAAGTCACACAACTCTTCAACTCTCAGTCTAGTCTTTTTGTTTCCCCAAACACTTCACCAACACTACGGTACCTTCATCAGAGTGGAACATAAAGTTGATTCTGCTTTCTTATATAGAACCAATGTGCGATGTGACATCCTATTATTTCTTTAAATTAAATAATTGAAAAAATAATCAATACAAAATCAGATACCAACATGTACCCTGCTTCTCTTGCATGACTGAAGCTAAGCGGGTGTGAGCTTGGCTAGTACTTGGATGTGAGAGTTCAGCTGCTGCTGGCAGTGGTGTTGGTGGGCCAGTAGGGGTGCAATCCCAATGATGCTGTGCTGTAGAAGCACTCGTCCTTCGGATAAGATGTTAAACCAATGTCCTGACTGACTGTGGTCATTAAAATTCCCATTGCACTTGAGTAAGGGGTTCCCTGGTGTCCTGACTATCTATCTAGCCACATAATCATCCCCCAGTGTACCTCAATGTTTTCCTACGTCTCCACCTCAGGCTCATATGTTGGTGGCTCTCTGGTTCAAAATGGCTCCTGTGGATCATCCAGGAGGGTTCTACACATAGGTGGTGAGTAAGGGGAGTTTATCCCCTTTGCTTGAAGCGCTTTGAATATCTAGATAAAGCACTTCTAATCCATTATTATCATTATTTATTATAATTATATCTAAAGCTGGAACAAACCCTTGAGGATGCCATGCTGCTTAAAGTATTTGGAGGAATAATCAGAAGAGCTGTGGAGCCTTTTCACTTACTTCAGTAGACCTGAATTGTTTATTTGATTTCCCTGTTATGATGTTATTGTTAAACTGTAGACATCTGACATTATATTATATTAAATAATGCAAGTTCTCTTTACAATGTGTCAAATAATATTCATATTTGTAACTCTGTATGGCAAAAAACAAAGCTTTTGGCTCAATCACTTATATAATTAACTTACTGCAGTTTTACATTTCTAAACTACAACACCAATCTAAGTACACTTAAAAAGGAGTAATGGGAGCTACTGTATGGATGTGTCCCTTTTGAACTCCACCTCACCTCTGCCTCCATCCTTGTTCAATTAGAGCTCTCCTGTTGGCCTCTAAGTGCAGCCCAGAAAGCTTTTGCCATAATTATTGTAGTCTTAAAATGTCAACATGCCACTTTGTTGCCAGTAAAAAACAAAAGTATAAAAAATACAGTGAGACACATGTACCTTAATGCATTTAGGTGTATGTGTGAAATTCACAAACGACAAAGCAGAGTATCCCAAATACATTTATTACAGTGATATTTCTCCCAACAGGGAGGTGCTGCAACATTGGAGACATTACAAAATGGACTTAAACGTTTACATCTGGATTCACAATCAAATAAAACAAATTAAAATGGACTTGATTTTTACATCTAGATTTACTAAAATATCAGTAACGGCTTTAATCTGGCACGCTGGACTCTGGAGGTATACACGAGTTAGACAAATATGATGCTACATCACCACCCATGATGATGTTCTTCATACTCACTTCTTATCCTGGATGGTGGCTGAAGGTAGATCAGACAATATGCATTTGGGTGTTGGATGAGTATTTTAAATGCGTTGTACATCAGCAGTTAATTTATCTTTGTGCCCGTTTCGTCCATTTAACTAAGAAGATGTATCAATATAATGATACGAGACTTGACATTGCCTGAGAATATGGTGATTGCAATTCATGTTACAGATTAAAGATGACATCATCCATCCCCTGCTGCAAAAGATGTCACACCCAAAATGTTTATATTTTCTTTTTTTAATAATACCCAGTTTTTACTAATCTAAAGCAAAGCTGGCCAAACTATTAAAAAGATGAAATATTTTCTACCACCCAGGCTCAGAGCATAGAAACCAAGCAAAACTGACACTGCTGGGAATGTGCAACAGTGCAACAGTGCAACCTTTGGACTAAAAAAAAACAAAAAAAAAGACAAAGAGTGCAATAAGAAGCTTGACTCTCCCAGTGGAGATGTAGCCTTGATGCTCTTCTCACACAGCTCAAGTCTCTCACCGCCAAGTAAAAACAACCACTGTCCTAATGAGTGGGAGGAAGAGCAAAGGTGTCTGGGAAAGATGTGCCGCTCTCACAGACGACATGAGGAGAAGAGCTACTCCTTACATGCTAATCGCGTCCTGAGCAGTACAGCAGACCCTGGATCATAAAAAAATGTCAGTAACAAGATTGTTGATGTAGCCACAGCCAGGTTCAGCATCCACAGTGTAAAACCTCCCAAGTGCTGCCAGATGGTTGTACAGATCAAAGCCACTGACATTAGAATAATGACCTTGGCTAAAAAAAAAAAAAAGGGAAATATCAAAGATCTATGTATGTATATGAAACAAAAGAAGCACTTAAAGTAAATGTGATGGGGAATGTCTAGAGAATAAGGGTGAATGAATTGATTCTGGCAGGTTTTTGGCTCATCTTGGAGGTCAAGCCAATAAAATTTGGGTTTCCAAATTGAAGAGACATGACAAAAGTTCACATAAGAATGAGGCCAGCTGTGGATAGCCAAAAAAAAAAACGTTCAGCGAAAGGAAGCGTTGAAACTCAAAGAGGATGGGAATAAAAACTTTGAACTTTACTTTCTATCATCTTTTAGAGATCTGCATTGTATCTATTCATACTACCTGTCTCTCTCTCTCTCTCTCAACTATCAGCACCCTGAAATGTCTTTGGTTTTGTTGCGACGTTGGAAACGCGTGTCAGCAGGGTCAAAACCTTGTTCATGGGCTCCGAACAGAGCCCAACTGGGAGTCTTGGCTATGTAGTCCAAGGCTGAGAAGCTCTGCTGTCCCCCACTCTCCTCGTGAGCCTGGACCAGCTCCTGGAAACGCTCGTAGTCGATCCATGTCCACCACTCGCCATCCACCTTGAACTGAAAGCACACACAAAGAAAGGAGAGAGAAAGAAGGTGGCAGATGAGCGAGCAGCAGTAATCCAAGCAGTGTTTATGGATCTACATGTGAAGACCTTCCAGCAGCAACTGTGAAGCTTTAATCAGAGAACAGTATCAACTGTAGATATCAACTGTATTTGAAACATTGTGATTATTTTGCAGCCTGTAATTTAGATAATTTAAGTTGACAAACTTTTAAAGGACTTACACAGAAACTGTAAATCAAAAGATATTAATGTAAATTGAACTTACACACATTTCATACTTCAAAGCAATATGCTCGGATACAGAATGAGGAATAAACAGACAAGCACTGAGGGAAGTAAGGCTCATATATAGTGTTGTGTTGCGTATTCTGAATTTAAACAAGAGTTTACAGATGTAATCAAACAGACCAACAGTGATTATACATCTTCTCGCTCCACATTTGCCACTTGCTGTTAGTTCAGCCTTTCTTTAAATGGTTGTGGATTCACCAACATCCCTTCTCCTCACATCTCTCCCTGTATCAATCACTGCTTCTTCTTAGTCTCTCACCCGATTTGCCATTTATCTTACTACAGAGAAACAAAAGAGGAAAATAAATGGACGGAAGAAGAGCGAGGATCTGAAAAGAGTGTGTGTGTTTATTTGTGAGAGGCACACTAACTACCAGAGAGTGTTTGACAGTGAGGAGAAATCCTCTAACATCATTCTGCCTCTCTAATCCTGCTTGTTTTCCCAAACCAGCACAGAGTGTGACCTCTACTTTCCCAGCATGCAACAGTGCACTGATACAATACCACGTTTCCCTTGTTATCTGTAAAGGTGGGAAAGAACGAGAACAAAACTGAGTGCAAACAAAGCAGGTCCCACATACAACACAATCTTTCCACTGTAGTTAAATACTGTTTATGGCAGCATGTAGCAAAGTGAGTGTTTAAAATGGTTCTTGATCACTTGAACTCTCGTGGGTATTGTTTGAAGGTTTTTGATAAGCTGTAACAGGATGCAAACTGGTGCTAAGCTGTCACTGGGGAAGATTGTTGTTGTGCTTTCGCTCTCAGCATTTAGTATTTAAAAGCTCTTTCGAGTTCATGGCTGCTTTGACCAGACCCCGTTCTGTGCATTGGGGTTTGCTTCTTTAAAATTCTTAGACTTACACCAAACTGCTTCTACTACTGTAATTCACACAACAGGAGGCAAAAAAGAGCTAGCGTTACATCACTAACTTTCTTAGAAAAAACAGCAATTCAAAATGACACAAAATGTACTCAAGATGGACTAACATTTACTTGCCAAGTTAAAGACTTTCCTGCTAGAGATGACGGCCCACGGAGGGAATAACGGCATTAAGCGTTTGAGCTTTAGCCTTTAGATGCCTTTGCGCCTGCCTCAGCCATTAGAGAAAAGCTACCCGCTGCATTGCTAATGAGGCCTGAGAAAAAAGGAAAAAAATGAAAGCAGCGCCTATTGGGAGTTAATGTTTCTCGTAATGAGAAGGGATGATATTTGTTCAGCCGGCATCTCTGCAAACAATTTCAGTCTCTAAGCAACAAAGCAAAGCTGTGCTGTCTGGGACAAGAACAAGACGGCCTGTTGTTTTTACTGACAGTGTCCTTGCTGAGGATCACTGAGGACAGCTTCTTCTCAGAGCACCACAGGAGGTGCCTTCATGTATGAGCACATGCCAATGAGCTATACAGTACTTACACTCACACGCATACATACACAGAGCACATGGGCGTGCTGAACCAGCCACAAAACAAACATCCACCTAGGGAAAAATGCTGCCTTCTGGCCATGTTGTACAGGCAACAAAAGTGTGAAACACCTTTCACATATGCCATTTAGTTGGAATTATGAGTCAGAGGACAGTTTGGGAATAAACACATAATTGTAAGTGTAAGTGGTGGCAAAATGGCTGTAAAACCACTGCATGCAGTGGTTAATGCAGCAGAAGTACAGATACTGCGGGTAGTTAGCCAGCTTGTAGCACTTGGAACAGCTTAAAAACTCTCCTGTCGGTGTCATGATTGGTTAGTTTAAATGCCGAATGGTGTGGTAACAAAACGCTGACTGTCCTCGACTTGTAACCAATGAACTCAGCTGCCAGTCTAACATGTACACTGGCCTGGTAGGAGACTAAAGGAGCATTTCGGATGCATCTTTAAAAAAAATTTTTAATACCATAATAAGAAATATTAATCCATTTGACAGGCAGTTTGACAAAAAAAGGAACTTCTCTTGGACTTAAAAACATTAACATAGCACGTTTACTGACGACATGGATTTATAAGTCAACAGGTCTTTCAAGAAGATTATCTCTTGGGTTTGTGTCTTAACTGTGCTGTTTTCATTACGCCGTCCTATGAGAGAAGTAGGGCTGAAAGTAAGAGGAAAAAAGATGGGGGAGGGAAGGATAGATGAAAAAGGAGAGATGAAAGAGAAAAAAGGCTGAAAGAGAAAGTAGAATGAGGTGTGAGAGAGGCAGAGATTCAGAAAAAGAGAGAAATGCCTATCAGTGTGAAGATCCCAGGGGTTGACAAGGTACTGATGATGATGATGATGTGTCAGTGCAGGGAGGATCTATTGCTACTTGCTGCTTAAGAGTGATCTCTCTCTCTCAAACACACACACAGAGCTCTGATGTCTTTTAAAGGACTACATCAAACAGTGATATCATCCAACTGGAACTAGAAGATCTGAGGACTATGCAGTAAGCGCACACACACACGCACACACACACACGCACACACACACACACACAAGACTGATGTGCTTTCCTG